CAAGCATAACGCCTTGCCCCTCTTTCACTGAATATTTACGAACTTCTGGACAGATATAAAACGCGGCGCCGCTCCCCTATGTTTCAATGAACAAAAGGAAACACAGCGCTCCTTCTAACATTTTTATTTTTTAATCAACTTTAATATTTTGGATATTACATGAAAGATTACTTCATAAACTTTCAATGGACGCTTTAGAAAATATAAATGAATTAAGTAAATGTATAAAAATGCAAATGTAATTGTTTCAAAGTTTATCATGTTTGCTCTGAAAACCTCATTTTCAAAACAGGAAGTGGATGAGCAACAGACCTGAAATAAAATATCAAGGTATTGAATTACCTCTCAATGCTGTATGCCAAATATCAAGAAGATGTGATAAGTAGTTGCTGAGAAACATGTTACGAAAATTTCCTCCCATTAACCATTAATGTCGAAAATTTAACTAAGATGATAAACAGGAAGTGGATGAGCGATAGACCTGAAATAAAATCCGACGGTATGGGAACAGTTGTCAAAGCTGTATTCACAAAATATCAAGAGGCTGTGGTAAGTTGTTGCTGAGAAAACTGTTACAAAAATTTCGAAAATTTAACTAAGGTGATAAACAGGAAGTGGATGAGCAACAGACCTGAAATCGAATCACACGGTATGGGACCACGTGTCAATGTTGTATGCCAAATATCAAGAAGCTGTGATAAGTAGTTGCTGAGAAAAATGTTATGAAAATTTCCTTCCATTAACCATTAATGTCGAAAATTTAACTAAGTCGCTATAGAAAACTGTTACAAAACAATTTCCGCCCGCCCATCGCCCGTCCTTCACCATACTATAGAACCTGGGTTGGCACCAGTGCAACCCGGCCAAAGAAGTTTATCAGGTTAACTTCTGAAAACCACTCTTAAATTCAGTAAAAAAACACGGCGCCCACTTACTTTTTTATTGATTGATTAATTCTAATAATTATAGATCAAATAAAAATACTTAATTTTTTGTTCTTTTTTTTCTAGGCACCTGCTTTTTAATCTTAATTTTTCATAATAGAGTATGATATTTTACATTTGAATTATATATATTTGTTTTTTCTCTGGTGGATGTTTAAAACAATAATTTATGTTTATAACTTTTAATTATTTTATCTTAGTATTCTATTAAATTAATACAGCAGTACAATGCTTTTGACAATATTCTAAATCTATGATGCATGAACTTTGTTAAGACCGATTATCATTTTTTATGTTATACCCCCTGTCGTCCGTCTGTCTGTCTGTCCGTCCGACCGTACGTACGTACGTCCGTTCGTTAGCAATTTGGTTTTCGAAGCATAATTTAAGTTCCATTTGGCCCACAATGTTTAAACTTCATAGGATGATTGTCCATATTGAGTAGAAGACCCCTATTGATTTTGGGGTCGAAAGGTCAAAGGTCAAGGTCACTATTACCTTGAAACTGAAAACAGTTTCTGGAGCATAACTGTAGTTCCATTTGACCCACAATGTTCAAACTTCATAGGATGATTGTCCATATTTTGTAGAAGACCCCAATTGATTTATGGGTTACTAGGTCAAAGGTCAAGGTCACTGATACCTTGATACTGAAAACAGTTTCCGGAGCATAACTTAAGTTCCATTTGACCCACAATGTTCAAACTTCATAGGATGATTGTCGATATTCACTAGAAGGCCCCAATAAATTTTGGGGTCAAAAGGTCAAAGGTCAAGGTCACTATTGCCCTAGCACTGATAATGGTTTCCGAATCATACCTTAAGTTCAATTTCACCGCACAATGTTCAAACTTCATAAGGATGATTGTCCATATTGGCTAGAAGACCCCCTATTGATTTTGGGTCACAAAGGTCAAAGGTCAAGGTCACTATTACCTTTATAACTGAAAACAGTTTTCGGAGCATAACTTAAGTTTCGTTTGAACTCACATGTTCAAACTTCAAAGGATGATTGTTCATTTTGAGTAGAAGACCCCTTTTGATTTGGGGGTTAAAAGGTCAAGAGGTCAAGGTAACTAAATTGCCCTTAAACTGAAAATGGTTTTCAAAGAGCATAACTTAAGTTCAATTTGACCAACAATGTTTAAACTTCATAGGATGATTGTCCATATTGGGTAGAAGACCCCTATTGATTTAGGGGTCACAAGGTCAAAGGTCAAGGTCACTATTACCTAAAAATTGAAAAAAACAGTTTCTGGAGCATAACTTAAGTTCCATTTGACCCACACTATTCAAACCTCATAGAATGATTGTCCATATTGGGTAGGAGACCCCTATTGATTTTGGGGTCAAAAGGTCAAAGATCAAGGTCACTATTGCCCTAGCACTGAAAATGGTTTCCGGAGCAGAACTTAAGTTCCATTTGACCCACAATGCTCAAACTTCAAAGGATGATTGTCCATATTTAGTAGAAGACCCCTATTGATTTTTGGGGTCACAAGTTAAAAGGTCAAGGTCACTATTACCATGATACTGAAAACAGTTTCTGGAGCATAACTTGAGTTCCATTTGACCCACAATGTTCAAACTTCATAGGATGATTGTCCATATTAGGTAGAAGACCCCAATTGATTTTTGGGTCACTAGCTCAAAGGTCAAGGTCACTGATACCTTGATACTGAAAACAGTTTCCGGAGCATTACTTAAGTTCCATTTGACCAACAATGTTCAAACTTCATAGGATGATTGTCGATATTGACTACAAAGTCCCAATAAATTTTGGGGTCAAAAGGTCAAAGGTCAAGGTCACTATTGCCCTAGCACTGATAATGGTTTCCGAATCATACCTTAAGTTCAATTTCACCCACAATGTTCAAACTTCATAGGATGATTGTCCATATTGGCTAGAAGACCCCTATTGATTTTGGGTCACAAGGTCAAAGGTCACTATTACCTTTATACTGAAAACAGTTTTCGGAGCATAACTTAAGTTTCGTTTGGCTCACAATGTTCAAACTTCAAAGGATGATTGTTCATTTTGAGTAGAAGACCCCTTTTGATTTTGGGGTTAAAAGGTCAAAGGTCAAGGTAACTATTGCCCTTAAACTGAAAATGGTTTCAAGAGCATAACTTAAGTTCAATTTGACCAACAATGTTTAAACTTCATAGGATGATTGTCCATATTGGGTAGAAGACCCCTATTGATTTAGGGGTCACAAGGTCAAAGGTCAAGGTCACTATTACCTAAAAATTGAAAACAGTTTCTGGAGCATAACTTAAGTTCCATTTGACCCACACTATTCAAACCTCATAGAATGATTGTCCATATTGGGTAGGAGACCCCTATTGATTTTGGGGTCAAAAGGTCAAAGATCAAGGTCACTATTGCCCTAGCACTGAAAATGGTTTCCGGAGCAGAACTTAAGTTCCATTTGACCCACAATGCTCAAACTTCAAAGGATGATTGTCCATATTTAGTAGAAGACCCCTATTGATTTTTGGGGTCACAAGTTAAAAGGTCAAGGTCACTATTACCATGATACTGAAAACAGTTTCTGGAGCATAACTTGAGTTCCATTTGACCCACAATCTTCAAACTTCATAGGATGATTGTCCATATTAGGTAGAAGACCCCAATTGATTTTTGGGTCACTAGCTCAAAGGTCAAGGTCACTGATACCTTGATACTGAAAACAGTTTCCGGAGCATTACTTAAGTTCCATTTGACCAACAATGTTCAAACTTCATAGGATGATTGTCGATATTGACTACAAGGTCCCAATTGATTTTTGGGTCAAAAGGTCAAAGGTCAAGGTCACTTTTGCCCTAGCACTGATAATGGTTTCCATTTGACCCACAATGTTAAAACTTCATAAGATGATTGTCCATATTGGCTAGAAGACCCCTATTGATTTGGGGTCACAAGGTCAAAGGTCAAGGTCACCATTACATTGACACTGAAAACAGTTTCCGGAGCATTACTTAAGTTTCATTTGGCTCACAATGTTCAAACTTCATAGGATGATTGTCCATATTGGGTAGAAGACTCCTTTTGATTTTGGAGTTAAAAGGTCAATAGGTAAAGGTAACTATTGCCCATAAACTGAAATTGGTTTCCAGAGCATAACTTAAGTTCCATTTGACCAACAATGTTCAAACTTCATAGGTTGATTGTCCATATTGGGTAGAAGACCCCTATTGATTTTGGGGTCACAAGGTCAAAGGTCACTATAACCTAAAAATTGAAAACAGTTTCCGGAGCATAACTTAAGTTCCATTTGACCCACAATATTCAAACTTCATAGAATGATTGTCCATATTTGGTAGGAGAACCCTATTGATTTTGGGACCACAAGGTCTTAGGTCAAGGTCACTATTACCTTAATACCGGAAACAGTTTCCGAAGCATAACTTAAGTTCCGTTTGGCCAACAATATTCAAACTTGATAGGATAATTGTCCATATTGGGCAAAAGACCCCTATTGATTTTGGGGTCACTAGGTCAAAGGTCATGTTCACAATAAACTTAAAACAAAAAACAGTTTCAAGAGCATGACTTAAGTTTCATTTGGCCCACAATATTCAAACTTCACCATGATCAGTATGATTGTGCATATTGGATAGACGACCCCTATTGATTTTTGGGTCACAAGGTCAAAAGTTAAGGTCATTATATAGTACTTAAATATTAATCAGCTGTAAAATTTTATAGGATGACAGCTAATTCCCATGTCTTACAAATGCTTCATCCTTACTGAAAAAAACACTTTCGGGCATATAATGCTCCGCCTAGCGGTGCTCTTGTTCAAGATATTTCTTGGTCTCTTTCAATGATAGTGTGTGTTTTTGCACTCAAATTGTTATTAAAACTTCACTCAGTTTCTACAGTGTACAATGTAAGGTCACATCAAACATTTTACTTTTTGGCAGTTATAATTTGCATAGAAGGTAATGTTCATAACCACTATTGTAGATTTAAAATAAAGAAAGCATTCTTAACTTAAGAGGAAAACATCAAGTTATTATTGAAAATGATAAAAAGATGAATTAATTTACCTTGAACTTTCTTTTTTCGGCTTGACCACCCCTGTAAAAAGAATGAGATATAAAATTATGATGTTCAGGACGGTTATTAGCGTTATTTCATTCAAAATGTAAGGCAATAAGTATTTTATCATTGAAAATGGATGGTATCGGTTGTTTTGATAGTGTCCAATATATGTACAGGGTGGTAAATGCACGTGATTATATAGCAAGCACATGCTGTAAAATTTATGAAAACAGCTGAAGTTCTTTGCGAATATTATCAAAGTGTTTAGCTCATCGTCTGCAGAAAAAGTGTTTGGCCCGGCTTTGGTCAACTTAGTGATTTTCAATATCATTTTCCACATGTCACGGTCGGTGAAAATCCAGCAAAACGCACAATCAAAATGGCCCTTCTGGTTTCTCAGAGATTATAGTGAAATGAGTTATAAGATGAACTCATTCTTAAAAAGATCTATACACCTATGAAGCTCTCAAATACGTTTCTAGGAAAGCTCCGGACAACATATAGTATGAAAAGTAACAAAATGATAACGCATACACAAACCAAAGGGTAAAAAAGGGTAAATACTCAAACATTATGCAAAGTAAAATATCATTCGTGCAAACTGCAATCCCCCTGAATGAGATCTATTTACATATGAAGTTCATGTTAATATCTCGAATACTTGCCGAGTTATGCAAATTGACAAATTGAAAATGACAAAGGGCAATAACTCAAAACATCAAAATAAGAATTATCGTTTGGATGCATTGCACACCTGAATGAGATTAATGAAGTTTCATGTTTATCTTATTTCTCAAAAGCGTTGTGCGTTACGCTTCGGACAAACATGTGGAATGGAAGGACGAACGGACAAAAGGACGGACGAACAAATGGAGACTACTAACATATTCTTCACACGTATGTTTGCGGGTGGTAAAGCTATTCTCAATTTAGTTTTATGTGTGTTTTAAAGTTTGCGCTGTGTACGCTCACTAAAATAAGGCGAGTTCGCCATTGTGAAAAAAATCGCAAATTAAAAAATAAAATTGAAACGTACAGAATAAATAAATATTTTCGTTATATTATTATCATTACAGTGGAAAATAAGATATAAGTATATTTAAAGGACTATTCTTTTTTATTTTAAAAGTTGTTTGTCACGCAAAATTCCAAGCAAAAACACAACCCACTGTGACCTTATTACTGATGTTATGCATCAAAGAATTGTGATCTATTCTATCAATGTATCTCCTGTAATGCTGTAGTGGTAAATATATTATTAACGCTAAAACTGGTCACTTGTACCTCCAGTAAAGCCAATTCCCGTGTTTATTTACAAAGTATTACTCCCGGAGCTTGACTTTCTGTTGTTAACTTTCATTATCTTTTTCATAATATATACGACAATAAAAACTTATGATATTTTGTGTACTTTTTTAAATGAATTTAGACAACAATTAAGGAAGTTCGTGGTCGTTGGCTTCGAATTACTTGCCCCTCATCACTAAGGTTCGAATCCCACTGGGAACATTCCACTCAATCATTTGATGAAACTATCACGCTGGTACCTGAAATAAAGCACAAAGGGGCACTTGAGTTCGTTTTGGAAAATCGCTATATGTCCTCTACTGTTTGGTGCAATGTTTAACCCAACCACAGCAAACAAAAGACAAAAATAAAAATTGTATATAGAAACTATCTCTACACCTTGACATGCCTCTTGACTGGGTAAGTTATATAATTTAATATAAAGTGTTGAAAACGAACCATAAAGTATATGAACACATTCCAGAACATCCGACGAACTATTTGGAAAATGCTCATATCAGACCGAGCATCAGATATGGCATCCCCTCTCTCTGCAGAAAGTGTTTGCACAGCGTTTTTAACATCAGCTAAAGCGGCATCCTTCACTTCATTAACATCTTCTTTAAATTTATTCAGTACAGCCAATGCTTTTTCATCGAGTTTACGCAATGATTCAGCTGTCCTTTCATCAAGTTCAGATAACGCCTTATTTCTGTTCTCAAAAAGTGATACTGTGTCTTCCTGGCTTATGTGTATCGTGTTGTTTTTTAACTGTAATGTATAAGACATATATGAGTGTAATATACTTATCAACAATTTGCTTACAAAAATTTGTGTTTGATGTGTCGTAAGTTTTACAGTTGAATCGCACTATCACGTCGCTTGAGCGAGCGAGCTGATTTCGACTTAAAAATGGATGAAACATTTAAATAAAAATTCATCACTAAAGGCAATGTCACTTTACTCTACTATAGGAATTACATGAAATATATTATTGTCGTTGTTTGTTATGCTGTATTTCCAGATAAGGGTTCTTAAATTTGACTTTTGTTGACACCGATCGCGAACGACCATTTCCAGCCAAAAAATACAATTAACGAGCAAATACTTTTGATAGTTTGAAAAATAATCATTTAAGCTCCAGAAAATTATACAATGCCTTGTTTACAGACAGTGGATTTTTAAAAATGACAAAGAAATTACCACTAGTCTTGTTTTGTTACTGCACGATTGTTAGCTTACTAATAATATGGTTGCTTCCATAAGTATTACAACTTTATAAAGTTTTGAAAACCATCTGTTTTGTAATTGTTGGTGTTCTCTATGTTTGAACTATATTAAATTTTTATAATAAGAGTTTTTATTATCTAAAACCATATGTTTACGGCATTTTTACGGCATGTACATTGTACTTTGGAAATAAACATTGTACAACTAAATGGTATCATGTTTGGCATTTAAGTTGTCAATGCCAAAGGGACCCGGCACAGTGTTTGGATAGTGTAAAAAAGTAATTCTAGAAAAAAAAATACTTTATATGTAATGTAATATATAGACTATATATTATCTATAAATTAGTTTTTTTTTCTCTAGAATTACTTTTTTACACTATCCAAACACTGTGCCGGGTCCCTTTGGTCAATGCCCCACATGATCGCTTAGGATTTCTATATTTTTGTAAATCAAAATGACACACCTTTTGCCAGCGGAGGATAGTAAAACTAAAACAATTTAAAAAGGAGGCAATATTCTGCACACGTTGTTAACAGACTTACCCGCCCCGGATAGTCAACAAATATTTTCAGTTTAAAGTGATACATTAAACTGTGTTTGAGAAAAAGGCAACTATTCTAAATCAAACGAGGGAAATAATTAAGAAAAAGGCTGTCAGGATTATCTCCATCTACACATGCATTTCAAATTTCGTGGTAAAAGCACCCTTCGTTTAAAGTGAATTCATATGTTTTGAGAATTGAACCCTACCAAAAACAAGAATTCATCTGTGAAAAAAATTTATGCCACCGCAATAAAATAACAGAAGTAGATTATTTTTGTTACTATACAATTTAACTTTACCATAATGCAATAGTGTCGAGTGAATTCGGAGGTCAAGGTCATATTTCAGCATGTCAAATCATTAGACACATGTGCTGATGTGCATAGTGCAATATTTGATTCAAAAATAAAAGAATTTTTTATTGACAAAAAAATATGCATTGACTGTATAACATAGCTGTATTAAACTTTAAAATGCAGGTACAGTAATTTTTTCTTAAATATCATCTTTTCAATTAAGCATTACCAATTTCTAAAAAACATAATCATTATTATAAACATGGCGTGTTTTACGGAGTCCTTGTTATGTTTTCATTTTTTTTTATTTAATATCCCTACAAAGCTCACAACTGTCTTGCTAGAGTTCATGACCTGTATCATTTCATAAATATCTCTGAAAATCATGACCTTTAGGATAACTCTATGCTATTGAATATTTTTACATAAAAATGCATAACATGTATCAGGCATTCCAATGTAAGTTGTTTCCTTTTAAACAAAAGATTGTTTACGTTTTTACTATAATGTCCATAATGAAAATCAATGACCAAGTGGCGGGGCCAACTTTGATCCCAAGGCTATTATTTTAACAAGGGTCAGGCTATTATTTTAACAATCTTGATATAGGTACACTACACAATGTTTCATAACAACAATTTAACCTTTAGCCTTTGTCCATAGAAAGATGAAAATATTTTAAGTTTATATTCTATACATATATAAGGAAAACCAGTGACCCCGGCGCTGGCCAATTTTGACAATAGGGGCAAATTTGAACAACTTTGGTAGTGGAATTTTGGAGGATAATATTATATACAAAATGTCAAAACTCAAACCTGTAAGCCTTTTACCTTCAGACAAGTAGATTTTTCAAGTTTTTACTATATGTAACTATTATTAAAAATCAATGACCCCCAGGGCTGGGGCCAATTTTGACCCAAGGGCTATAATTTGGTAGAGGTCTACTACACAATGTTTCATGGCAAATATAAAACCTCTGGCCTTTGTCAATTCAGAGGAGACGATTTTTATAGGATTTTACTATACATACATATAAGGAAAACCTATCAACCCCGGGGCGAGGCCAACTTTGACCTAAGGGCCATAATTTGAACAATCTTGATAGAGTTACACTACAAAGTGTTTCATGCCATTGTTTTGTCACTGGGGGGGGGCAAAATTTCACTAACTTTGGTAAAGATCCTAAAGATGATTGATATTATATACTAAATATCTAAGCTCTAAACCTTGTACATTCAGACAAGATATCTTTTTAATTTTTTTACATAATAAGAAATTAATGACCCCAGGGCGAGGCCAATTTTGACGCAAGGGCTATAATTTGAATAATCTTGGTAGAGATCTACTACACAATGTTTCATGGCAAATATATAACTTCTAGCCTTTGTCAATTCAGAGAAAAAGACTTTTAAAGATTTTACTATATATTTAATATAAAGATTTGTTTTAAATTTTAACTCCAGGGCTATAATTTGAACAATCTTGGTAGAGATCTTCCAGACAATTCCTTATGCAAAATATCTATCTCTAGGCAGTGTGGGTCTTTACCAGAAGTTTTAAATTTTTTTATTCTTATCATTCCTTTTGGCTGCCATGGCAACCAGATTTCTGCATAGAATCAAATTCTTTTCACAACTTCCTCCTAGTAACAATCCTGCCAAGTTTGGATGAAATTGGACTAGTGGTTTTATACACGAAGATTTTAAGTTGACTATATAACACGCGCACGAACTCACTCACGCACACGCACGCACGCACGCACACAAACACACAGCTGAATCGCAAGATGTCATCGCAGATGCTTAAGTGTCATTAAAATTTTACAGGGAAATTCAAAGTCAAACATACCATATATGGAGACATATAAGTGTTCAGTTATGGAAAAATAAAAATAATGACCTATTTAAGTGATAACCGATCAATATGTGAAATATAGATTTAGTGATAGTGTGCAAGATAAAGGGCGGAAACCATTCCGAGACTTAAGGTCCCTATGAACCTTATCTAGAAACTATTGACTTCAAAGTCAGTAGGGGTCATCTACTAAATATGCCTGTTCAATACGTGAAATATGAAGACTAAATAAAAACACGGTTTTGTGACATTGACCTTTGACATACAGACCCCAAATTCATTAGGGTTCATTAACTAGTTGTAAACAATCAATAGTAAATAATCAATATGTGAAATTTCTACATCTACATCTACATTACACTGCTTTATAATCAATTCTGATTATGACTAGAAGGCGCGTTGTCAGGGAACTGTTAATAAAAGAAATTATTTATATGCATATTGAAAAGTTAAAAGAATAAAAGTACTACAAGACTATTAATTTAAAAGACGTAGTGTGCAATTTAGAATTTATAGAATGGGTCAAGCCTTTCAGTAAAGATGTTTAAACTGGGCTAGACTGAACAGTTAGAGGAAGGCTATTCCAAAGACGTATGCTCCTAGGAAAGAAATAATTTTGATGATATTGTGTCCTTGAGTAGGGTATCAGGTAGTTCAGATTTCTTGTTTGAGTAAGGTGTTGGTGGTCAACAAAAACAATATTGTTTTGGATTTTATACAAGTAGGTTACATCACTGATGTTTCGACGCTGTTCAAGGGTTTGCCAATTTAGATCATTTATCATTTTTGAGACACTACTTGTATAGTCATAATCATTAAAAATTTATCTAGCAGCTGATCTTTGTACTTGCTCTATCTTATAAATTAAGTATTTCTGCCAAGGATGCCAAACTATGGAGCAATATTCAACCTGAGGTCTAACATAGGTCTTATATGCAGTTTCCTTTATCTTTTTATTTGGGGTTTTAACATTTCTTCTAATAAATCTGAGGGAGTTATTTGCTTTAGATGTAATGTTGTTTATATGTTTTGTCCATGAAAGGTCTTGACTAATAGTGACTCCTAAGTATTTCGCTTCTTGAGTTGAGTTTAGTTGGATGTTATGGATGGTATAAGGAAATATTACAGGGTTTCTTTTTTAGCTCATCTGTCACTTCGTGACAGGGTGAGCTTTTGTGATCGCTTTTCGTCCCGCGTCCGTCGTCCGTCCGTCCGTCGTCCGTAAACTTTTACTTTAAAAGACATCTCCTCATAAATCACTAAGCCAATTTCATCCAAACTTCACAGGAATGTTCCTTTGGTGGTCACCTTAGAAAATTGTTCAAAGAATTTAATTCCATGCAGAACTCTGGTTGCCATGGCAACCAAAAGAAAAAACTTAAAATATCTTCTTCTAAAAAACCCATAGAGCTAGAGCTTAGATTTTTGGCATGAAACATCTTCTGGTGAGTGTCTACCAAGTTTTTTCAAATAAAAGCCCTTGGGTCAAAATTGGCCCCGCCCCAAGGGGTCATTGATTTTTCCCTACATGCATATAGTAAACGGGGCGTCCGTGGCCGAGTGGTTGAGGTCGTTGACTTCAAAGCACCTCTGTGGGTTCGAATCCCGACAGGGACTTTGGATTCTTTCATGTGAGGAAGCTATCCAGCTAGCTTATGGAACGTCGGTGGTTCTACTCAGGTACCCGTTCGTGCCTGAAATAATGCACGGAAGGGCACCTGAGGTCTTCCTCCACCAGTAAAGCTGGAACGTCGCGATATGACCTATACTGTGTCGATGTGACGTAAAATCCAAAACAAACAAACAATATAGTAAAAGCTTAAAAAATCTTCTTTTAAAGA